CTAGTCTCCTGGTTAGAATTTTCATACCCTCATGCCAGGTCTTGGCTTGACCACCCATTACCTGCCTCGGCGAACACCGCCAGCCGTGGCAACCTATCTGGTGACAAGCGTAACACATGCCCCGAACCGGCGTAATCTACGGAGGTCGACCAGTTACTCCAGTTGAAAACCGTATTTCCCTAAAACTCTGCACCTAACCTCAGCATTGCTCATCCGGCTGCCTAACCAGATTCGTGCAATCCTGCGTAGACAGCGGTGTTCAAACACCGAGAGTCTGTCTTTTCCTGATTTCTTAATGGCCACGTTTCTGTGCCGTAAAGCAGAACTAGCCAAATTGCCGCAGCATACACTCGACCCTTAACAGACAGCTGGATGTCGCGACGACGCCACAGATATCTCAAGTTGGCTAATGCCAACCTTCTGTATGCGAGCTGACACTTCATCTGTGATGCGTCCACTGGGTGAGATATAGCTGCCCAAATAACCAAACATTCGTTGATTCATAATACACCTACCATCTTGAGTTGAAAAACACTTGCGCTCTGAATTCTGTTGGGCATACTACCTGCACCAACAAAAGCCATGATTGCTCTGACTGATAGGAGCCTGTGAGAGCACTGGCTATGGTTAGTGAAAGCCCGAAAACCGATGATGAATTTGTCTATGCTAACGGTGAAAATCGGCGAATGCACAACCCTAAGGATCAGCAGTTTGGGTAACAAAAAGAACCACCAGCTTGGAAATGTCTGACTGTGGCTATCAAGAGGAATTTGATTTTTTATCACCTATACTTGCACGAAAACAGAGGGCCTGTGAATCATTTGGTCAACCACCCTCAATGCCTTCGGATTGATTTTTGTTTTTCAACTGTGATATAGCATCCATATGACTCAAATCTGTCTGCAAAAAGCTAAACAAAATGGAAACTTCCGAGGGCAGATAAACGAGGCGTAGTTGATGCAAGATCGGATACGAACTACGACTAAGACCTCGGAGGCTGATGCCCGTGGCTTGCAGGCACATCAGAGCTGACCACAGTCACACAGTATCATATAGAGACTTTGATAGGGATAAAAAAATTACCGCCACAAGTGGACTCGCGAAGACTCCAAAAGATTGTGACTATCTACCAATGGTCTATAGGCTGTCGAACAAGGAAATACATCTCTGGAACCCGACCCAAAGGACTCAGTGGCGAAGTATATGATGGTATCTCTAGGATTTGATATAATTATGCTGTGAAGGAATGTTGGTATTGTAGCTTCATCTAATTCAGGATGTATATGCCTGAGCCTTATGACACCCTTAGTTCTGGCCTAACATCATCAACAGACCGGCCAATGTTTCCGGGTTGCAACACGGGTGGTAGTTCTGCAAACTTCTGAGGGATTATAGAAGTTTTCACCCTTGATTTTAGACAATGCTGAAAAAGAGGCAGCATATACAGCCCGCCCACTGGGCCGATGAGAGACCTACGTAAGCAAAAGCCCTCTGGTGCTGGTGTGCATGTGTAAAACATTATGCAACGCAGGTCAAAATCTGTAATAAATTTGGAAAGCTGGGGAAACGACTTACTTATTCTGAATTCAAGTGGACTAGTCGTTTAGGAAGACAACACCAGGATGTAAACAATTTATATGTGACGAATTGTATCCTTGTCTAACCTGCTTTTGATCTTTTCTAGACGGTACTGATGACCCCTTAGCTCCATCGCTTTACACCGCCTCAGATGGCTTAGTCACGTATTGCGTATGCCTGCCCATCGGCTACTTTGCCGTGCTCTTTTTGTAATTGCAAGGCAAGGCTTGAAGCAGCACCGCAGCGGTAAGACTATGACATGGCGCAGGGGTGTGCATCAGCCAGCAGAGCTTTGGCTCCGGTTGGTGCAGCCCACCTTCCAGGTTGAAGCCCAAGGGATGAGGATTGCCGTGTAGAGACACTGAGAGATATGGTCCAAAACAGAAGTCAGTGACGAAAATGTGGTACTGTCTGCTTGCAGCTGCAGTGGTGAATACAAACCGCGCAAGTTGTAAACCAATGGGTGATTACCGAATGTATATTATAAACTTCACGAATTGATGATATTTAGTTCCTCCTGTTCATTCGCCTCCATTCTCGTAGAGATCAGCTGCGAAACAAACTTGGCGAATTGTTCCCGGAATCTGTCTCCTTCATCTGATATCCTGCCCTTGAATTGCAAATAGCGACTAAAACTTAAAGCTGAAAAGATAGTAAACAATAATAGAAACATACGCAAAGGGACATCTCGGTCAGATACGGAAGTTTTATAATGGCCAATGACACAACACTGTGAATCTCTAAGAGCTTGATGCTGACCAATAATAGACTGCCTGGAAAGAAAGGTTGCAGAAAGCGACAGCACTTACCACTCCTCCAAAATCTTTCCGTGATCAGGTTGATTAGGATTGTAGACAAAAACAGCACCATTAACATTTTTGAAAAGAGCAGGCCAGCAATTTTCATAGCTGTTTGATTTGGAGTTAAAATGCAGAAAACACCAGTACCTATTGCTTCCGCTTACATCCCACAGTTCCAACTCTACTTTTAGATTCTTCCCTTTGCAATTAACGCTTTGCTCATATTCGATTATACTTTAAGAAGCACGTGCGCAACAAGAAACGTTGATAAACTTACCGCACACCTTTAGTTGGTTTGTAGTCAACAGTGACTTGTTCGATAGCATCGGAGAGAAAATTACAGACGTAAGACTTCCCACACTAAAATCGGTAAATTATGCAATAACCCGTTACTTCACTCGGACCGACCACCACAAGCTTGAGGTGATTCATTGCGACTAAACAACAGACTACAAGGATCAATTGATATGGATAAAGTCAGTGTTGAACATGCTTTTTAATCACAAATTTCATATCAAGAGGAGTTTCATTATTTGTTTGTGTTGCCATAACAACGTTGGCAGCGTGTTTTAAATTTCAAGGTCAATTGAATTTAGAAATCAACAGGATTTTACTTTGTATTGATGGAATATATAATTCTGTTTTTTTTGAGTAAATGTCATATTCTTACGAGCTTCATCCTTCTGTATAGTAAAAAACATTATTTTGATTGACAACATCGACAGTGGTTTTGTCATTATCGTTAAATATTAATTTTTAACGATAAGAATAAATTTATTCTTAATATCACAACTATATTTGATACACCAGAATTCAGCTAAACAATTTAGTTGATACTCCTCACTGATATAGATGAATAGCTGAGGTTTTTGAGGAAGTTTATAAACTTCTTATCCTGCCAGCACCATCTTCTATTTTGAGTCCCCTTGGATTTTTTTGGGAGTCCCAGTAGAGTCCCTTTAGAGTCCTCAAGCACCCGAAACTTTCTAATTATAGACCGGTCCCTTAATCATAATATACATAAATACTTTTAACGCTCTAAGCAGTATCTGCAATCGGATTGGAATAACAGTCTCCTCGCAGATAAACGATTGTGCTTTATCATTCATGTTTTAAGTTTCGTTCTTGTTTCACTGAACGCTGATGTGCGTGGCTTCCACATACTTCCACCTTGATTTTTCAATGCACCGTGCGAGGCCACTCTGGTTTACGTTCATATACAGTGCTTGATTAAGGTCTCATATTCTGTCTTCGATTGCTCATGTGAGTGGTCATCCAGCAGATTATAATACAATCAGTCATGGCACAAAACTAAAGCATACAACCTGATTTTCCGGCTCCTGCTCTTCTAGTTTTCTCAAGTCAGTAGATGAATGATCAGACCTCCACTTCAGGAACCAGTTCAAACCACAATTTATCCAAGGCCGTCTTGAATGCTAACACGGTCTGCATTTCTATTAGCTGCACGGGTAGCCTGTTTTATATGTTGACTTCTCTTTTCATGAGGAATTCTGACCGGGCCATCAATCGAGACCCGGTTCTGGCTAGCTTCATTTCATGTATCTTATTCAGGAACCTAGCGCCTTCCTGAACAAGATTTCTGGTGTTAGACCAGATAATACTTTCATTATCCTAAAAGCTTCTTTTTCATCCCTCGTAGCCTTTTTTCCAAAATAAGAGTCCACGGTCCTAAAGCCTATACTTAAAGACTTTGCCCTGCTGTCCATCAACCTTTGCTGGGCTTCAGCCGCTGAACGCGCTCTAAACAGGTAGCATCCTTTTTAAAGTAGAACGACCATACCTGAACACAATATTTTAAGTGGGGTCTGACTATAGCTTTGCAAAGAGGTATGAATACTTCAGATTTACGGCATGGCAACGCTGAACTAAGTTTAAAAGTTTCACCTCAAGGTTCTTTTGTCTCAAGGACACATTGATCCGACCATCTAGGATCAAGTATTTTACATCTTTCACCTTCATAGTGAACGAACCCACCATGAGTAGTTCTGTGATACCATACAAAACCCTTGGCAACAGGTGACATTTCTCGAAATTTAGGGACAAGTCCCATTCGATGGTTCAGCATAGAATTTCAGCTACGTCCGTGGACAGATGATCTCACTCCTTTTACCCTACGACTTTTAAATCGTCTGCGAAGAAACAGCTAGGCAACAACAGCGTTAATGCTACGTCATTTATATATATTAAGAATAGGATGGGTCTTAATAAAGACCCCCGAGATACCCCACTAGCGATGTTCTCCTGGTTGGAATTGGAGCTACCTACTCTTACGTAGAAAGGTGTGCCATTTTAACAGTAAAAAATCCAGCTCTGTATCTGTTCCCCTATACCGACCGCTTTGAGTATGATCGATGGTAGCCAACGGTTCATGAAGTCGAAAACCTAACTGAAATCAAGATAGCATGCTTCCACCTTCTTGCTTTCATCCAACCTGCGACTCACTTCATCTAAGAATCACAAGAGATTAGTGAGACACGACCTATTTTTCAGGAACGCATACTGGGCAGGGCACATCATGGAATTATCCATTAAGTGCTTACAGGTATGAGCCCTAATAGTCTTCTCCAGCAACCTGCAAAGCAATCTCGGTAGGTCTAACTATCTCTAGTTGCTCACTTCTGACCAAGGCTCTCCTTCGTGTATGGCTGCCACGACGCCTGTTTTCTAGTCCCGTGGTAGAACAGCTTGTTCTAGGCTTAACTTATATGGCCTACAAAATGGCTGCTATAAGATGCCTGCCAATGATTTCACAATGACTGGGTGGATGCCGTTAGGTCCAGTCAATTTGCTTTTATTTATGCTGTCTAGCTAGTTCTGTACTATATCCACCATTAGACACAAATACTCTCTATACCTAATGGAGAAGTTGACGGATACCAGACTACGGTTGCGTCGCTGTCAATACGATTAACGCTGCTAAAGTAGACAACTCATGTATTTGATTTTCTGTTTTTGTCTCTAGCAACGGAGCGTCCATAGGTTCTCGGCGGCCTTCCACCACCCCTAGGTGCTCCTTTGGATTGAACGTACGAGTACAATATATATTCATGTGTTATCTTTGTATAAACTTTATACAATATCAGAAACAAGTAGAAAACCTGAGGGCCCAAAAGCAGCAGATTACCATGGTAACCTGTTTTTGCAAAACCTTCTATGGTGTTCATCTCAGAATGATCACTGTCTAGGCATGAAAATGTCTTAAATTGACTCTTGAAACATAGGTTCATACACAAGACAGACACAGTAGCATGCAGAGAGGTGATATATTTCTTATTCACTGCGAGAGGGCAAATATCAAATTATGCAAGAGAAACATAAATCTGCATTTAATCAAAGTGCCGACCGTGAGAAACAAAATAAACAAAGTCAGAGTCAAAGTTTTATTATGGGAATAGCTTACAAGCTGGTGCTTCTCTTGTCTCATAGGATATTTACACAGATGAATCGTTACACATCAAAAAAGGAGTCGCCTTAAGATCCGGGTAGGAGATAGAGAATGTGGGCTACAGTGGATTTCCGTTTGTCGTTAGTGTACGAATGTGAGGTGTGCCAAGGTTTCGTCGAGTCTCTGCTTGAAAGATTCAATAATGGGTGCACAAACGACATGAGATGGAAGGGCGTTCCAAGATTTGCATATTCTGACTGCAAAAGACTGGCGCCGGTAATCCAGTCGAGTCTTTGGAATCAGTAGTTTGAAACGGTGTCCCCTTGGGTGTACACTGTTCGATAACATAAGCAGCGATCGACACGGATGGTTCGGGTTCTGCATTATTTGATACATCAAAATCAAGTCTCCTCGAGTTCGGCGGTACTGTGCAGAATATATTCCCAATGATCGCAATCTGCCCTCGTATGACAGGTAATGGAATCCCTTGACCATCTTGGTGGCCATCCTTTGTGGACGCTGAAGCATCTTGCGATCACGTTGAAGCCATGGACTCCAAGCTTGGATAGCGTACTCTGTATAGGGTCGAATGTACGCTGATAGCAAACGTCGGAATAGTGATGATTCAAACCGACGAAAGACTCGCCGAAGTAAGCCGACATTCTTCGTAGCAGCGAACGAAGCCTTAGCACTGTTGTTGGAGCAGCTTAAATTCTCTTGAACAACAATACCTAAGTCCTTTTCGCTAGAAGTATGCGGTAGCTGCTGTTCCCCGAGGAACTATGAGAACTTCCGCCTGTGGTGTATGGATAGGAGTTTACATTTAGAAACATTAATTCAATGTCATTCTCTTTAGGTCATTGATAAGCTGCGTTGAGTGGTTCCTGAAGTGTTAGAGAGCCCTCGGGTTCTGTTACCGTGTTCTAGATTTTGGTGCCATCTGCAAACAGTATTGTTTTTGAGCTTAACACTTTCGGTAGATCACTAAAGAAGGCGAGGAACAGACGGGGATCGAGTACGGACCCTTGTGGAACACCGCGGGTGGCTTTGATGGGTCCGGATACAGAATCAGAAACACGGACTGATATGATTCGTTGATCGAGGAATGCTTTGATCCACTCAAATGCGAAATCTCGAACGCCATAATTATAGAGCTTCTGCAGTAAAATTTTATGATTCACTCGATCAAATGCTTTCGTGAAGTCGAGATAAATAACATCCAC